CAGGAGAGTCTCGTGAGACAGGAGGCGACAAGAACAGGGGGCAGACTCAGGACCTGACCGGGACGCAGCAGCAAGTACCTGACCCGACGCAGCCACCTGACCAGACTCAGGGACAGGAGGAGACTCAACGGTCAGGGTGTAGAGACTCGACCCCGGCCGACGTGAGAACGTGGCCAGGTGTCGGCCTGTGCGAGCCTCCGTGCAGTGGGTCACCCTCTGACGCGCAGGAGTGAACTGGTGAACACCCCCATCCTGCAGGTCCGCTCCACTCACCAAGTTCGTAGAGAACGAGGGAAGGTACAGACCCGACAGGGTGCCCGAAGGGGCAGCCGGACACGGGAGGACAGTGGAGAAGTGAGACAGGACAGGACCCCCAGAGGGGTCAGCAAGGGAGACCGCAACCGGCCTGGCGAGCGGCGAAAGGGTAGTGCGGTCTCGAAAGAAGGAGCGAGAAGCTCCGGAGTCAAGTGTGAAAGTGAGGGAGGACGAGGACGACTCAGTACCTGAGAGCGCAGTCTCACCAGTACCTGAGAGCGCAGACGCACTGGCACCTAGAGCAGCAGCCTCACAAGCACCTAGCGCAGCAGTACCAATGCCCGGGTCGGGCTGAAAACACCGGTAACCCTCATTCTCCTCACTATAATCCACAACATACATAGCAGTAAGGATAGCATCAAAATCAAGATCAAAGATCGCTACACCAGCCCTGAGAAGCTCATCCCAGCGAGGGATCTCACTAGCCCCAGGGAACTGCTGACGCCAAGCGTCCGTCAGGCGGCCAAAGCAGCGCTGGGTGGCGTGGGCACCCCCACACTGCTCACCCGCGCGGTCGCCGGAACGAAGAACGTAGGTGCAGGGACCAGTACCCCCACCCCTCTGACGCCCAGCGTACCACTCACGAAGCTGCTGAGGCGAAGGGATGTCCCGCGAGCGCTGCTGCTGCTGCCGGTGCGAGCGCTGGCCACCACCACCGCCGCTACGCTGCTGGGTACCACCCCGACCAGCTCCACCTCCTCCACCACTACTGCCTCCTCCGCTGCCGCCTCCACTGCCTCCACCTCCGCCGCCTCCACCTCCGCCGCTGCCTCCACCACCACCGCTGGCACCACCACCACCGTCTCCGCCGCTGCTGCCGCCACCACCACCACCACCCCCGCCACTAGCCCCGCCGCCACCCCCACTCCCTCCGCCGCCACCGCCGCCACCGCCACCGCCCCCTCCAGCTCCACCCGCGCCCTTGCCCCCCTTGCCCTTGCTGGAGCGACGTCTCCCACTAGGGGCAGACGCCGCGCCGACCGACTCAAGACCAAGCAGGTCGGCAGCAGCAGCAGAGGCAACAGAGGGCAGCAAGGGGGAAGGAGAGCACCCCTCAAAGATGGGGGTGCGAGGGTCACCACGAGAAGCACCTACAGCGACTATGCTCTTCTCCGCTGCAAGGAGGGCCTTCTCGAGGAGGTCGACGGTGAGAGTGGTGGGACAGACTGCGAGAAAGTGGTCCCTGACGACGCGAAGGGAGTCAGGGAGGCGTGTGACTACGTAGTAGAGAGCGATGTACATGGGGGGGGGGTTCTTAGCGCAGAACTCAGCAGGAAGGGCGGCGCGGTAGCGAGTGTCACTAGTGCGGAGGTGCGTAATGAGGTCAGCGACAGTGGGAAAGGCAGAGAGGTCAGGAAAGAGGTAGGGAAGCATGAGACGGCTCAGTGCAGCAGTGGCAGGGGAGGAGTAGCGCGCAACTACAGCGTCGTACAAGGTCTGAGCACTCTTGTACTGACTAAAGTGCGCACGCTCAGAGGTAGGGAGGTGGCGACGCACAGCAAGACGTGCAGCAGCATCGCGGGTGGCCCACTTAGAGCGGACAGCGGGATCAGCATCAGCAGCAGGGGCAGGAGAGGCGCCAGAGGTGAGGTCAAAGAGAGAAAGGTCGTCAGCCCTGTCGCACTGTAAGAACAGCTGCAGGTCGTCTAACCAGACCTCAAAATCAATGGCGCGACCCTCAGCGTCAAAAGCTAGGACACTAGGGGTAGCCATGACGACGACTGTGAAGCAGTGCAAGCAGTAGGGGGGAGAGCACGCAGTGACAGTGGGACTGTGCTCACCAGGCAGGGCAGGTCGCGCAGCTCGACAGAAAAGCAGAACGGCGACCGGGCGGCTCAGGTGTACAGCGGCTCGGCTCCCGGGCGGCTCGGCGGCAGGGCGGCTCGGGTGCAGGGCGGCTCGGCTCCCGGGCGGCTCGGCTGCAGGGCGGCTCGGGTGCAGGGCGGCTCGGCTCCCGGGCGGCTCGGCTGCAGGGCGGCTCGGCTCCCGGGCGGCTCGGCTGCAGGGCGGCTAGGGTCCCGGGCGGCTCGGTGACAGGCGGCTCGGGTCGCGTAGAAGTGAGACGGGGCGGGGCCGCGTCAGGGCCGGCGGTAGGGCCGCGTAGGAGCCGGGGCAGGGCCGCGAAGGAGCCGGGGCGGGGCTGTGATAGGAGCCGGGGCAGGGCCGCGTAGGAGGCCGGCGGTGTGGCCGCGTAAGGGCCGCGTAAGGGCCGCGTAAGGGGCCGGTGCGGGGCCGCGTAAGGGCCGCGTAGGAGCCGGCGCGGAGCCGCGTAGTGGCCGGGGACGGGGCCACGAAAGGGCCGGGGCTGGGCCGCGTAAGGAGCCGGCGAGGGGCCGCGTAGGAGCCGGCGGCGTGGCCGCGTAAGGGCCGCGTAAGGGCCGCGTAAGGGGCCGGCGCGTAAGGGCCGCGTAAGGGCCGGGGCGGGGCCGCGTAAGGGCCGCGTAAGGGCCGCGTAAGGGGCTGGCGTGGGGCCGCGTAAGGGCCGCGTAAGGGCCGGGGCGGGGCCGCGTAAGGAGCAGGCGGCGGGGCCGCGTAAGGAGCAGGGCGGGGCCGCGACAGAGTGGGCGGCGAGGCCGCAGAGGAGAGAGCGACTCGAGGGGTCGCTAAAAAAAATTCGCGCCTCGGGGGCGCGCTTCGGTGGGCCCAAAAATTTCGGTCCTGGAGGGACCTAGCTCTATACCAAGTGAAAAGAGTAAGCAGGAATGAATGAACTATGAATGAAAGCAGTACAAATATGAAACCCTAACTGGGTTGTACCCCCTATGGGATACCCCACTACAGCCTACACAGCAGTATAAGCTATAGATATGTTCTGACACCCTAAGCACAGTTCCCACAGGGGAACCTGCTCGATACCATGAGAAGAATAGAACGAGAATGAAATGACTATGAACGAAGTGAGTACAAATAGGAAACCCTAATTGGGTTGTACCCCCTATGGGATACCCCACTATAGCCTACACAAATAAGTAAACTATAATGTTCTGATAGATGGGGAAGAAAAACGTAGAGAAAACTGGAAAGTCAGAGGAGTGAGAGAAAGAGAGAGAGAGAGAGAGAGAGAGAGAGAGAGAGAGAGAGAGAGAGTGAGAGAGAGATAAAACGGACGCGGGCAAAGAAGGTAGAGGGAATGCAAGAAAGTACATCAACAAAATCTAGCAGAAACACTACTTACTAAACGAAAGGAAACAAGAATGAGAAGAAGAAGAATACTGCAAAGAATAAAACATACCTTGTATGCACTATACTGTACTTGCAATCACACGACTTCCACACAATATCTTGTAAATGAACTGACGGAAACAAGGTGGGATTCAGGTATGGAGAGGAGGGAGGGGGGGAAAAGAGGGGGACAAATACGAAAGGAAATAAAAGCAATGACATAGTTAAAGATAACAAACGGACAGAAAAGAGAAGGACTTAAGCGACGACACCACGTCTGATAGGATGATATGACGGTTCTAATCCAGAGAAGAGAACAAAAAAAGTGAGCGAAAATACGCAGATACGAGGTAGTAAGAGGACAACAGACGAAAGGAAGTAAGGATGAAGAACACAAGGAACGGATGCAGGATTAAGCACGAAAAACGAAGAACAGGACCTAAATAATACGAAGTGTCTATAACCTAAGCTTCAACGACTTGCTTGCATCGATTTAAACGGTTAGAATACGAGATAACGGAATGTTGGTCTAACTAATAGCCATCCAAAACAGTTCTGGTAGATACTTTACGTGTCGTTTCACCTTAAGACTGGTTGGAGGATGTGTGACTGGCGGGAGAACGTCAAGAACCTAGCACAGCAAGGAGAGAGCCGGGAAAAAAGGAAACACAAACCCTAGGTTAGCAAGTATTTCATCGCAGTCGAAAGCGACGAAATATATTCGGGGCTACTGCATAGAAGGAGTAGCGCAGTCGGTCGAAAGGCAAATTGGAATCGAGAGGTCACATGTATGAGAGAACAGCAAAACTGTTTTCGCAATCCTCAACTAAATTCCGTGAGATTCGTACTCTGTACAAAAAGGACCTATATAATACAGTAAAAAGGAACTTCAAAACAAGATCCATACTTAGTATAACTAGTTGTACATGTTAGAATCCCTCTTCTCTTGTAACCTGCATATATGCTATAGGTTAGGCTAGAGTTAAGCACCCAAACTTAGTTTGGGTGTACAAACAGGGGTAACCCAGTTTGTAGGTTGGAACCCAACCTTGGTCCAATTATTGGACCCCAAAAGATTGGGTTGGGTAGAATTATTGGCCCCCTCCAATAATGTTGGCCCAACCCCAACTTGGCCAACATTATTGGACCCCACCAATAATCTCCCAACCCAACCTCTTGGTTAGGGTCCAATAATGGCACCTTAGGCTAGCATCCAACCCCATTACTATGTATACCCCCCTGTTTCTCTATCATATCATCAACTACATTTCAACCTCTCTTCTCACATGGTATAGAGCTGTCATTCCTAGGCCTACTCCTCTCTCAAACAAAAAGCCCACCCGGCCGCCACAACCCCCGGCCTCCTCCCTCATTTTTTTTCCCCCTCTCAGCCATCCCGCCGCCTTCCTCCCCCCCGTAGCGCCCTTTTTCCTCCGCAGCTCCACGGCCTCCCAAGCCGCTGCAGCCCGCGCCACTCTCTTCCGCGGCCTCGACGCCGCCTCCGCGCCAGCACCGCCGCGGCCTCACCAGCCGCTGCCGCCCGCGCTCTTCCCCTCCGCGGCCTCGACGCCGCCTCCGCGCCTCCCCGCGGCCTCACCAGCCGCCGCCCGCGCCACTCCGCGGCCTCGACGCCGCCTCCGCGCCAGCGCCGCCGCGGCCTCGCCAGCCGCCGCCCGCGCCACTCCGCGGCCTCGCCGCCGCCTCCGCGCCAGCGCCGCCGCAGCCTCGCCAGTCGCCGCAACCCGCGCCCTTCCCCTCCGCGGCCTCGACGCCGCCTCCGCGCCAGCGCCGCCGCGGCCTCGCCAGCCGCCGCCGCCCGCGCCCTTCCCCTCCGCGGCCTCGCCGCCGCCTCCACGCCTCGCCGCGGCCTCGCCAGCCGCCGCCCGCGCCACTCCGCGGCCTCGACGCCGCCTCCGCGCCAGCACCGCCGCGGCCTCACCAGCCGTCGCTGCCAGCGCCCTCCCCCTCCGCGGCCTCGACGCCGCCTCCGCGCCAGCGCCCTGCGGCCTCAACAGCCGCTGCCGCCCGCGCCCTTCCCCTACGCGGACTCGTCGCCACCTCTCCTCACGCCCCTCCGGGACCACTGCGGGTCCACCCGCGGCCGTCCATCATGGCTCACGCCACACCCTCCCCCTTCCCTCCTCCTATTGATACCTCCTCTATCGATAAGCTGCAGCTCGCCGCGGACAAATCCGCCGTCAACTGGCACTCCTTCATCGGCAGCATTCGTCGAGTTCTCTCCGATGCATGGGTTCCCCCCTACCGCGTCCTTGACGTCATCCTCCGCCGTCCCCATGCTCTCCCCCCCACCGCTCCTGACCACCCCGGCGAGACCCCTCCTCTCCCTCCCTCTCCTGGCGATCCTCCTCGTGAACCCGACCTCCAACTCACCGTCGACCAAGCCACCGCTGATGCAGACTTCATCTTACGACGCGGTGCATACCTTATCCGCAAAGCTGAGTACGATGCAGCAGTTGAAGCCTATGACCAGGCGGTTGCTGGCCGCAATGCTCATCTTGCCGTCGTCGCCAAATACCACGACGACTTGGCTACCTTTACCCCAAACCTCATCGCCTGGACAGCTGCTGACACCCGCGCCTGCACCGTTCTCCTCGGTGCTCTCCCTGACTCCCTTATGCGCCGCTTCCAGGCTCGAGAACTCCGTGCCTCGGTCATTTGGGCAGAACTCCATGCCATGTTCGAACGCCGCGACATCGGCTCGGTTGGCATCCTCTTTCAAGAGTACTTTTCAATCACCCTCGCTACATGTGACGGAGCGGTTGACTATGTCGGACGTATGCGAGAAGTAGCTGATCGCCTCGAAGCCCGCCAGGCTGGCCTCTCCGAACCCCTCCAAATCCATCGCCTCCTGTTTAACCTCACCCCAGACTATGAATCACGCCTTCACGCCTTTACCGAAGCCAATCCCATGGCCGATCTCGCCTCCGTTGAGCAGTGGATCATAGACACCGAAGTCAAACTTCGCACCCCCATTGTCAACCTCGCCTCCTCCCAACCCTCCTCCTCCTCCCTCAACGCTACCCAGCCCCGCAAGCAGGCTCGGAACAACGGCAAAGGGGGAGGTGGGGGCAAGGGAGGTGGCGGTCAGGGCAACGGCAGCACAAACAGCCGTGGCGGCGCCACTGGGGATGAGCATGGCACCACTAATTCGGGCGGAGCCTCTGCAGGCCGCGGAAGTCGTCCTGGCACTCTTCCGCCCTGCACCTATGTCCGTCGCTATGGTCCCCGGGCTGGAACACCCTGCGGGCAGACAAACCATCCCCCTAGCACTTGCTTCAAGGCTCTCGATGATGCCTGGTACGCGCGGGGCAATGTTGGCACTCCTCCCAAGTGGGGAACGATCTCCCCACGTCCCTCCCTTGCCGACATCCAAACCAACCCCGCTTACCTCCCTGCCCACCTCCACCTCCTTGCTCCCCCCACACCGCTCCTCAATCTCCAACAGCAGCACATCCTGCAGCAGCACCAGCAGCAGCAGCAACAGCAGCAGCAGCAGCTGTTTCATCAGCAGCCACAGCAGCAGTAGCAGTCGCAGCCCCAGCCGCACCCATGGGGAACTGGACTCCTACCCCAGTGGGGACCGAGCCCTCCTCCTTGGCAGCAGCAGCAGCTGAATTTTGGCACAGCTGCCATAGCCGCTCAAGCCTCCCCGTCCCCCCTTTGGGGTGCTCCACCACCTAGTAGCACTGCCCCTCCTCTTACCCAGGAGAGCTTTCTTGGCAACATTGCTATCTCACCCTCACTTCCTTCCATGTACCCATCCACCGTTAATGAAACTACTTTCCAGTACTCCGTCTCTTCCTCCTCCTCACCTTCTCTCGACTTTGTCCTCGATAGTGGGGCCACTGAGACCGCTCTCAAGGATGCTGGTACACTCACACCCCTCTCTCCTCCCACGCAAGTTCACGGCGCTGACAGCAGCTTTACCATCCCATGCACACACCTCTCCACTCTCCCCTGCACACTCTTCCCCTCTGGTAAGGTAACTGGTCTCCACATCCCCACCCTCCGAAACAACCTCCTCTCCCACCGTGAAATCCAAACTGCAGGTATCACTGCCGTCTATCCAGGTAATGCCACCTACTGTGACCTCTACCACACCGCCACTGGTCGCTTCCTTCTACGCATTCCCCTCTGCCCCCGCACTCGCCTCTACACTCTCCGCACCCCTTGGCCATCCTTCTGCCATGCTACCACTCGTGCTGGCACTTCCACTAACCCTCCCCATCCCCCTACCTCACCTCCACGCCACCAGCAGGGGCCGCAGCAGCAGCAGCAGCAAGGGCCACAGCAGCAGCAGCAGCAGCCGCCACAGCAGGGGCAGCCACAGCAGCAGCAGCAGCAGCCGCCTCAGAGGCAGCAGCAGGGGCCGCAGCAGCAGCAGCAGCAACAGCAGCCACCGCAGCAGGGGCCGCAGCAACAGCAGCAGCAGCCGCCGCCGCAGAGGCAGCAACAGGGGCCGCAGCAGCAGCAGCAGTGGCAGCTGCAACAGCAGCAGCAGCAGTCACCTCCCCCTCTCTCACTCACTCCAACCCCCTCCACCTCCGAACATCTCTCCCACCCCGCTGTGCTGCTCCACCACCGTCTCGGCCACCCCGATTTCGCCACTCTCCGCACTGCCGTCACCTCTCGCCTCCTTCACGGCCTCCCCCCTACTCTCCCCCCCCTCCCTTCCTCTCCAGCCCCTCCATGCCCCTCGTGCATCCACGGCAAACTCAAACAGTCCCCCCACCACAGCCACCCATCATTTACTCCCGCTCCAATTGACCTCGTCCATATGGACCTCTGGGGACCCTCCCCCACTCGTTCTCGTCAGGGCCATCGCTACATGCTGGTCCTTGTAGACGACCACAGCCGCTACTCCTCCATTTTCCTCCTCCACACGAAAGACCAGGCGCCGACCATGATCGTCAACTGGGCCGAGCAATGCCGCGCCCACTTCAAGCGTCCCATCGGCCGCCTACACTCTGACGGGGGAGGCGAATTCCTCAATCGCACTCTCTCCCATTACTGTACCACCCATGGCATCCAACAGACTCACACCCTCCCCCACTCACCGCAGCAGAATGGCGTCGCAGAAAGCCGGATTCGCGAAATCACCAAGATCGCCCGCTGTCTCCTCGCTCACGCCTCAACCCCCCCTTCCCTCTGGGGCTATGCTTTGCTCCATGCTGCCCTCCTCCTCAACCTTCACTCCCATCCCCAACATACCACCACCACCCCCACGGAGCTTTGGTCGGGCACCAAACCTGACGCCGCTGGTCTCCGTGTCTGGGGTTGCAAGGCATATGTCCTTATCCCTCCACCCGATCGCACCCACGGCAAGCTCGCTTCTCGTGCCCTCGAGTGTGTCTACCTCGGACACAACCGCGACTCGCCTGGCTACCTCTTCCTTCACCCTCCCTCTGGACGCCTTATCCGCAGCATTGACGTCGTCTTTGACGAAACCACCCCCTATTACTCCTCTTCACCGCTAGACCCCCTCCCTCCTCCTTCACGCCCTCTCACCTGGACCGACACTGTGCTCCCTCCCCTCCTCCCTCCTGCACCCTTTCTCCCACCTCTCCCTACTACGCTTCCGCCACCCTCATCTGCCGACATCTACGATCCCACTGCTCCCGCATCCCCTGCACACTCCGCAGCCCCCCCTCCCTCCTCTCCCCCCCCCTCTCCTTCTCCTCCGTCCCAGCAGCAGGGGCAGCAGCCGCAGCAGCAGCAGCAGCAGCAGCATGGGCAGCAGCAGCCGCAGCAGCAGCAGCAGCAGCAACAGCAGGGGCAGCAGCAGCAGCAGCAGCAGCAGCAGCAGCATTGGGAGGAGCAGCAGCCGCAGCAGCAGCAGGGGTTCCAGCAGCACCAGCAGCAGCAACGGCAGAGGGCAATTGCCCGCTCCTCACCCTTCCTCCTCCCTCGCATGCACACCCGCTCCCTCGATCCCATCCTTGGCACACCGCCGCCTCCCTCCCTCAACCAGCTCCAGGATTCCCATGAGGAGTTCACCATGGTCCAGCGCCACACTCCCTCTCTCACCACGCTCTACCTGGCCTCCTCAGCGCTCTAATCCTTAGCGCGATCTCCGCTCCCACCATCTTCGTCCCCTCCACCTTCCACGAGGCTATCACCTGCCCTGACGCTGACAAGTGGATAGCCGCCATCTTCCTGGAATGTGAGGCATTTATCCGCAACGACTCCTTCATTGACGTTCCCCTCCCCCCTGACGCCAACCTGGTCGAGGGCAAGTGGATCTTTCGAGTCAAGCAGCTGCCGGGAGAAGAACCGGTCTACAAAGCCCGCTACGTTGCCAAGGGGTTCACTCAGACCTGGGCTGAAGAATTCTGGTTCACATTTGCCCCCACTGTCAAGCAGGCCACCCTACACACCCTCATGGATATTGGTGCGCGTGACGACATGGAGATTGACTCCATGGACGTCTCCAACGCGTTCCTGCAAGGCGAAATGCACGAGCGCATCTTCCTCCGTCGGCCTCCCGGCTTTCATGCTGCTTTCCCTGACAACACCGTCTGGCAACTTCGGCGACCTGTTTATGGCCTGAAGCAGGCACCACGCGAATGGCATGCGAAGCTGTCTACCACTCTCCAGTCCCTTGGTTTCTCCGCCTCCCACTCCGATGCCAGCCTCTTCATCCGCTCTTCCCCTCGTCGCTTCTTCATATCCGTCTACGTTGACGACATGATCCTGCTCGCTGACACCAAGGCCGACATGGAGCAAGTCAAGCGGTCACTTCAGGAACGTCTCAAGTGCAAGGACCTTGGTCCGCTGCAGAACTACCTCGGCATGGCTATCACTCGTGATCGATCCGCCCGCACCATCACCCTCTCCCAGTCCCACTACATCAGCCAGGTCCTGGAGAAGTTCGAGATGGCGCAGGCCAAACCGGTCTCCACCCCCCTCCCCTTCGGTCACCAACTCGCGCCACCCACCTCCCCCTCCCCCTCCTCCCGGCCCTATGCCGAGCTTGTTGGGTCGCTGATGTACGCGATGATGTGCACTCGTCCCGACCTCGCCTACCCCATCAGCGTCCTTGCTCGGTTCGTCGGCTCCGGCCGCCACACTGAACAGCACTGGGCTGCCGCCAAGCGGGTCCTCCGCTATCTCCGTGGCACCAAGGATCACGCCCTCACCCTTGGTGGATCCTCCCCTCCCCTTCTCTCTGGTTTCAGCGACTCATCTTGGGCGGACTCCCAGCCGGACCGCCGCTCCTCGCAAGGCTATGGCTTCACACTCGGCAGCGGGCTTATCAGCTGGCGTTCTACTCGCTCCTGTGCCATTGCCCTCTCCTCCTGCGAAGCTGAACTCTATGCTGGCACCATGGCCGCGCAAGAGTCCCGCTGGCTCTGCTTCCTTCTGGCAGAGCTTGGAGCACCCCAGCGCTGTCCTACGCTCTGTTCGACAACGCTAGCACCATCCATCTCACCCAGGACCCCGTCTTCCATGGTCGCTCCAAGCACATTGAGCTCCGCTATTTCTTCATCCGCGACCTTGTCCACCGGAACCTCATTGCCGTTCGCAAGATCGCTGCTGCAGCCAAATTGGCTGATATCTTTACCAAAGCCCTTCTTCGCCCTGCGCACTCTGCTCTTCTCTGCCTCATCGGCCTCGCTCCCCCAGGCGCGCCTTGATTCAGGGGTTGCTTCCCTCAAGCCTTTCCGCATCTCTGCCGGTTAAGGGGTTATGTTAGAATCCCTCTTCTCTTGTAACCTGCATATATGCTATAGGTTAGGCTAGAGTTAAGCACCCAAACTTAGTTTGGGTGTACAAACAGGGGTAACCCAGTTTGTAGGTTGGAACCCAACCTTGGTCCAATTATTGGACCCCAAAAGATTGGGTTGGGCAGAATTATTGGCCCCCTCCAATAATGTTGGCCCAACCCCAACTTGGCCAACATTATTGGACCCCACCAATAATCTCCCAACCCAACCTCTTGGTTAGGGTCCAATAATGGCACCTTAGGCTAGCATCCAACCCCATTACTATGTATACCCCACTGTTTCTCTATCATATCAACTACATTTCAACCTCTCTTCTCATAGTACAAAATGTCATATTTGTGCAAAACGCTTCGCAACCCTAAGACGATTTCGTCGCCTCTTTTTTTTTTCGTGCGGTTTTCGTGCTATT